TCTACCATCTGAGCTAATCCCCCGTGTGAGCCAATAGAGGAGGTCCAAACATTTTAATGTTTTAACTTTAACAGAATGAGAGCACTGGTAGAGCACAGAGACTATTGACTAACTTACATCTACTTACTGAGCTGTTTTATATGAGGTAACTTGCATAAGTTTTGAACGAAAGATTAATGTCACCGAAATTGACGTTAAACCTGTTGGCAAACGTTACGTTTCCAATCGGAATTTTAACGTTACAACGGTAATTTAGCTAATTATGTTAGACTTAACGTACTCACTGCCACTTACCTTATGGTGAAGGCTACAGAAAAAAACACTTCCAACATTGCTTGGAAGAAGCCGTTATCATCTACGTTAAGTAAATTAAGTATATTTGACTGTAAGGTAAGATGGTGGAAAGATGGGACGCGAACCCGCGACTCTGCCGTGTTAACACAGACATTAAAAGCTTGACCTGCACGTCAGGAGACGTTTGAGGTATATCTTAAGATAATAGATCGTTATATTGATAGATTTAAATACACCTAAATGTGTACAATCTCAGATAAACTCTCTATCTAGGGTAAATTTAGTTTTTTTGTTAGCTTTTCCTTGAAACTGCATATCAACAGAGACACACAACCCCAACCATTTCTTTCACAACTGTTTTATTTATTCAAAACTCAAAAGATGAGTGTTCTGTAGATGTTTACATGGTCAATGAATGCAAGTTCCAGAGCAGACGACAGCCAGTTTGCAAAATCAAAATAGCTAGGTTAGGACAAGGAGACTTCCTTGGTTTAACTGGATTCTTATGATGACCAGTTAACCGATCACAGATCTCTTTATTACTGACTTTCTTCCAAAACTACAACTTGGGCAACCCATAACAGCAAATTAGAAGTGTAAACACAAGATTAGCAGGAAAGTCATGATGAAAGCTGTCATGTGAAAAATGTGTTTGTATTAATTCAGTGTCAGGCTCCCTTTATATTTTAGAATAAAACATTAGAACTGCTACAATCTATAACCATATTGTCAGTCTGTAGGTGGCTTTTCCACCCCGTCGACCTAAAAGATACGACTGCAATTTACCAGGATCGTGCGACATGGGACAAAATCTCCACACAAAATACATACATATACAAAATATCACTCATTCACAGTCAATGTGTAACATTCTCATGCTCAGATATGTTGCTGATCAATAACGAATAATCGCAGAGCACTGATCATATGCCTTGAGTCATTACACCAAAGAATTTCCTTCAGCGTTTCTACATGCCATGAACCCACCATAACAGAAACTAAAAGCTTGATGCTGACTCAAGCACAAAACAAAACTGACATAACACATGGCCTCAGCTTTCAGTTCATTTACAGTAGGTTTTTTGCACCAATTTTGCTACAGAAAGTTAATCGAAATGAAATATAAGTTAAATAAATAAGAAATTGTTATTAAAAAGTCACTTTTGTTACAGTTTTAGTAGCTCTGGGAGTGTCCTGATGGCACATCGGAGCAGCGTTGTTCTGTGCTCTAATAGAAGTATCACAGCGCACCAAAGGCAAATAAATAACTCCATTACGAGCTAAGACATTGTTCTCTCGGCAATATTTACAGACTTAAAATTCACTGTTTTTCCATAACAACCTCCATGCCAGGCTCGGTTCTGCGTTACTCATGCTGAAATAACTGGGATATGTTGATTATTACTGTTATTGGTACTGTGTGAGTGGAGGCAGGGAGGAGCGGCAAATGATGATGCAGAGTGGTTGTGTAGTATGTAGACGGCCAGAGGGTGAACGGAGGGTGAGGGGGGGAGGTTATAAACAGATATACATATGAGAAAAGAAAAGGAAAAGACGGACAGAGAGAGCAGGAATAATGGTGAGTATTTATAGAGCGTGCAGAGAGAAAGAGCAGAAAACAAACGAGGGCAAAAAGAAAAAGAAAGGGAAGATGGAGATGTTAGAGAGGGGGAAGGGGAAATGAAGGGTTCAGTATTCATCCTGGTCCAGGTGAGCTTGTTCATCGAGTTCATCATCCTCCGGAGGCGCAAAACCTTCCTGAAAAACAGAATAATAAAGATAGTATTCAGATTTTTTTTGTTGCTCTATTTTATTTTCTGTTAATAAACAAAAATGTTCCTGATTAAAGCCGACAACCAACCATAAATAATGTCCTCTATGTAGAGAGAGCCGAAGTCCTGACGTCACATCAGGGTTAGCCTCTGTCCCACTAGCTCACTGCAACCTCTCATTCATTTTACTGTCTATATACTATTATATACTATCAGACAACCACTACAACACTCTCTGTTAGAGGTGGAAACCTTTGTGGTTTTAAAAAAAGTTAAATAACAATTAATTTGTGTGCAAAAAAAAAACTACAGCCCCCATAAAAATGTACCAGTGCACTAAAGCTTCTGTCATCATAACTTAGTTTTATTCACATTTATTGAAATTACTCATTTTATCATCTGATGTTGACACATTTGTCCAATAACATCTGTAAAGTCTAGAAGAAAACATATTTTATCCCTTTAGCGTGTGGGAAGCGGCTGGAAGAGGACTCTGGTGCGCATGCTCTGTGGGCCCAAAAATGTGGACACATGAGGAAGGCTGCAGAGGCCGTTTTGGGCGTACATGCCTAGTGAACAACTTTCAGTTTGCATTGAATGGGGCGCCATCTTTGAACACGGTATCCAATTCTCCTCATTGCACCCGCGGTCCTCCTGTTATTATAGACATGTCTGAACTTGCCATGAATATCGGCTTACCTTGTCTGGCGAGTCATGATATTTAACCCATTACTATTTAGGATTTACAACATATGTAGTGCAAATATCGCTGATATTCGCACACTATAATTAAGTAATTTGTGTTATTACAGATGTCAATGGGATTTTGAATGAGGTTCACTTCCTTCTGGAACAGAACCCGGATGCTGAGGTTTCCCTTCGACTCTCTACAGTGAACCAATGAAATGGTGGAGTGCAGCCTGTGTTTGTTGTTGATAACGCATAGATACCTCTGTTGCGTAGAGAATGTCGATTATCTTGCTGAGGACCGGGTTGTTTTCGCTCTCGTGTTCCTGGCAGATCAGCTCAATGTCCCGTAGTTTGCTGAAGTAGAAGTCTCTCTCCTTCTCTAGTCCGTCTACGGTCAACTTCAACTCCATCAACTTAGTAAGGGAAGAAAGAAAATATAGGTTTACGCTGGCAGTCTCCAAAAACTACTCTGAACCATGTATCACACAGAAAACTAAGAATTTTTCACTATTCGGACACATGTAACAGTAAATGAGAGCATTTTCTGCTTATGCATTCACCTCATACAGTATTATATATAAGTATTGTAAGAAGAGGGAAAATCTAACAATCCTACTGGGCAGGAAGAGAGCAAATCAAAGAAAATAAGGTCCACAATCTGTGTAAGGGGCACAATTTTAAATCATTAATTATCACAAGAAAATAAGTCTGAAACTCCAACTAGCATTAAAAGCAATAGACGTTTTTCATAGCAGACATCTTGATTTGTCACTGAAGGAAAGCCCAGGTGTTGCCTTGTGATGTAACATTAAAGTTAAAGTAAACCATGACAGCTTGACAGTGAGCCAGCATGCACAATAAATGGAATTTAACCATCATTAATTTGATTATTTAGACATGTGCCTGTCTTACTGTGACATATCTTCTGTAAAAAAGGCCTATTAATGTAATAAATCAACTTCTTTCAGACATTATATACAGATGTGGTTTGAGAGTGTAGCTCTCCTTCCTCTCCGTGCAACTGTACCTGTTGATTTAGCTCCATGATCTCAGCATCACTGCCCCCATTTCTAGACAAAGCTGGATTCTTCCTCAAAGCTGGAGTGTTGTGTTGGACCCGCTGTGGTGTTGGCATGTTTTTGGGAACTGTTGGAGATGTCCTCTGTGGTCCTGCAGTGGTCAAAGATGATCAGAGATGTTTATCATTTGATTTTAAATGGACTTACGTTGCATTTTTTGTTTGGCTGTGTAGCAATTGTGGCGATGGATATAGCACATTATAGAGAGCTGATGATGTCAGCTTATAGCATAATGTTGTGCCTTTGGTATGCCATTTTTTGTGAAAGGGTTTCAAATAGTTTTTTAACAGAACACAAATTTGGATTTCCATATTTTAAAAAGTCAGATTATAGATAAAAAAAACTTTAAAAGGGCTAAATGTCACACTTATTTGAGTCAAAATCTTTAAGAAAAACCTGAGTCCTGCCAAACCTCTATAAGTGCTTCAGCAGAGGTGTTTCAAATAAACTCAAAGTCAAAACATGCCAACACGCATTATCACAGTTCTGAAAATAAACACAGTCATTCTGCCCATTTACAATCACACTGCTTACCAGTGACAAAGTCACAAAGCAGGTTTATGACACACTACAAGTCAAGTCAAATTAGGTTTGTTCGCCATGATTTTCAAGCAAAAAAGCTTTCACAGAGACATAGCAAGGCTGCTCAGGCTGACATTACCCTTGTTAGTAAAATGAGACAAACTCTCTTGTTTCTCAGTCCAGCTTTCAGAGAGAGATGGAGCTGCGACAGTGCTGCATCAGCTGCTCGATGCAGGACACTTCTGGCATCACCGATCGTGATCAATTGGAATTGGGAAAGCAAACTACAATTGGAGTTGCATGTTGTGTATTTTTAACTTCACGAATGCTGCATCCCACTAGTCACTGTGGTGATTAATACAATCCCACCAGTGACTCATTCATACCTACACAGTGTCATGTTGCTTGTGAATGCTGGGCAGTGAGATGGATCTAAGAAGACAGCAGTCATTCTGTGAATCGTGCTGCTCACACCACTTGCTTGCAGGGAGCGCTTTTGAGCCATCCAAAGCTCAGGAAGACCGTGCAGCAAAAGGCAAATCTGTTTGGTTTACCTGGGTTTCTCTTTGGTTTGTGGATAAAGTGATCACCTGGGTTGGGGGAAGGGGCCACGTCTTGCCCCTGTCTGGCTACTAAAGGGTCATACTCCTTCCCGTCGTAGTTGGCATCGAAGAACTTCTTGAACCACTGCACGAATTCAAAGTTGTCCTGGAACTTCCCTTTTACGAGCTTCTCTACAGGAATAATCTGGAGAGTGGAAACAGGGAATTCTTTAACATCTCCATGTGATCTTATGCTGCTAATACAAAAGCAGAATAACAAAAAATCTTCTTAAATATGATCAAAAGTATAGTGGGAAAAATGAGAGAGAACATAAAAGTATTCTGACTTTGTCAACGCTCATCCTTTTGAAAGCTGCCTGAAGAACTTTGAAGTTGTGTATAAATTCATGCTCCAGCTTGGCTTGAAATTTGACCTTCTTCAGAAGGATACAACCCGGAAACAACATGTCCATGAACTGGCAATATGCCGCTCCTGAAGAGCACAAAGACACAACAATTAGTCATTTTGTCTTCTTTTGATTTATTTGTTGAACAGTGCATTAGTTGAACCTTACCTGAACAGAGCTGTTCAATCTTAGTGTAGGTGAGATGCAAAGAATCATTGACCCATGCCAGCATGTCATGTCGGCTGAGGTTGTCAATGGACACAGATGTGGCGTACACATTCACTGCCATCCCCTACCTGGAAGAAACGACATGAGAAGAGAGAATTATTCTAAATGTGAGCTGCATCTCAAAGACTTTCAGTGGACTTTGGTAGAAAGTTTAGACATGGGTTTATTCATTACTTAATCTAGTCTTTGATTGGCCGCTGTATGTAAATATATACAGATTGCTCTTATCATGTAATCGTTCGTTCACGATATCCCGCCCTCTGTTGAACCAAGCTGCCCACCACATTCACTGATCTTCCCCATAACTTTTACCCAACTTCCCAGACATCTTGCACTTAAAAGAATGCAGAACTGATGAACTTATTTAGGTCTGCAACTAACAGTTACTTTCATTACTGATCGATCTGCTTATTCTTTACTTGATGAATCATTTAGTCTATAAAAAAACGTCACAAAACACTGAAAAATGTTACAGTTTCGACCGTCCAAAACCCAGAAAACATCCATTTACTATCA